GTATAGGCTTTATCATTTTTTAATTTTAAAAATTATTTTAAAACAACACATAAGATGCTCTTCTTTCATGAACCGCCACATCTAACAGCTCCAGTGTCCCTCCTGAACCCACACAGTCCCGTCTTAACAATCAGCCAAAAATGATGACGGGACAAGACGTGCCATTTTATTCCATTTTATAAGCTGGCCACACTGGCCCACGTACTAGACCCTCTCCACTTCGTGTCCCCTGCTCAGATGACCCTCCCCAGTGATGCCCAGTGAGGAGGGTGAGAGGCCATACTACCCAAACACTGGTTGGGGGCCGGAGCCACCTGCCACACAGCCCAGGAGCCTGTGAGACCAGGCCCATGGCCCCTTCAACAGCCTGTGGCTGCTCGGCTTCACCAGGAGCTTTTTCCGCAGCCCCCTTGTGTGCCCCCTGCCCCAAGCAAGGTCTTCCTGCAGCTGGGGCTTTGCTGGGGAAGGTGGACTCCAGTTGCTGTGGGTAGGCCACGTGTGCTGCACACACAGACCCTTTTCTGCCCGCGTGGCCTCCAAGCCACAGAGTGCACATCCAGTACTGCAGCAGGCTGGGTTCCAGCCGTGGGGGCCAGGGCGGGGTGGCCCAGGACTAGGTGGACGGGGCTGAGGGCCTCCCTGCACAGTCAACACCTGGACTGTTGTGAGGCTGCCAGCACTGAGTGGTCCTCAAGCCAGGGGCAGCATCCTCCGGACCCAGTGGGTGCGTGTGGAGCCACCTCGCGCAGCTGTGTGACACGGGACCGACTGCAGCTGCTGGTGTCTGCCCACCTGCAAGAGGGCGGCAGGGAGCATAAGTTAGGTGAGCACCAGCTCAGAGTCCTGGCGGGATATGTTCCTGTCTCTTCCCCTGGCGTCAGCCTGGTCACATCGCTCACCTGGCCGGTACCTCAAGTTCTTCCCACCAACTTGGGACTGGTGACCAACTTAGGATGAGGGAGCACATAGGAAACCTGGAGGTTCTGGAGTCGGGGCCCATGCAGATGCATAGATGCCTCGTGATGAGAGAACCCTATGGCCGGG